CGGCGGCGCCCCCGCGACCTGCGCCCCCAGAGCCGCCGCCCACCTGCTCGCTGAAGGTGGCGGCTGCAGCTGCCGTGGTCTGCTTGACCGCGTTGGACAGCGATGAGAAGAAGCCACCGCCCCCCGAGGACCCTGGACTAGGGGCTGCCGGAGAGGCCACAGGGGCAGCTGTGGAGGACCTCTCGGCTGTGGCAGTCGCGGAACCGGGCGTGGCTCCCGGGCTAGCGGCAGAGGGCGGCGGGGGCGGCTGCGGGCGCTGCAGATCTGTCATGTACCCATTCGGCAGATTGGCCATGAAGTTGCTGTCCGACAGGCGGCGCCGCAGGTAGTTCATGGCTGCGGCTTGGGGCAGGGGGTCCTAGGGGCAGTCTGATCAGGACCCGCGGGGGCGGACCTCACGGGGCCCAGGAGCACTGCTGCGCTCTCAGGCACGACGCGACTCCTCTGCTGCCCGCCGCAGACTGAAGCAGCGCTGAGTCGCCGCCGCCGCAGCGCGGATGGTCGCGCCCGTGACTCCCTATCTCGCGCCTCGCGTGGTGCAGTCCGGCTGGACCCACGGCGGCGCGGACGGGACCAAAACGACTGGGAAGGGGAGTTTGTAGAGGAGCGGCGACTGACGTCAGCGCGCCTTCAGTGCTGGGGCGGTGGTGGAGCGCGCCGGCAGGCGGGGGCGAAGGCGCTGTCCGCGGTGCTGAAGCTGGCATTGCGCACGCGCCACGCCGCATCCTGTTTCCCCTCCCCCTTCCAGTAGGGGATGCGCAATTTGGGGAGTGGGGGTGGGGTACTTGTCCGGAGGGTCGGGGTCGTCCGGCACGCACATACCCAAACACCTCATCCTGTTTCTTGCATCAGCTTGCACTCATATACAAGAACCTCACCCCACCCCAAATACTGGGCTTTTCCAGTGTTGATATTCACGAGGTAAGGTATTTGGGGGGTGGGTGTGGAGTCACACTCGGAGACATAAAAGTAGAGATATAACCCCCGCAGCGAGGAGTGACGTCACACGCAGTGTCCCGCGCGGAGATCAATCTCCCATGTCCATACAGTCTTAGCTATGCAGAGAGAAGGGCATGGGGGCAGTGTAGACAGCACCAGATAAGTGAAGGTGGAGACTTGGGCAGTGTACATACCCTTGCCTCCAGTGGCCGAGGGTCTGGAGTCACACAGGAATGACACACACAAAAGTAAAGGAACACGGGGACATGTTCAGACAGAGAACACACACCCATTTAAGTATACAGACATAAACTCAGTGTAACTAACACATGAGCATGTTGAGTACACACATGCATACATACATGGACAACATGCTGACACACAGAGACCTGTAAAAGCTCACACAAGCGTGGACACCCAGACAAAACATGTACCCACAGATGATCATGGAGACACCAAGATATGCAATACAGACATATTCCTTGTAGCACTAGCCTTGATGCATGTTTGCTCTCCCATTCCCACATAACAGCACTCAGTCTACATGCCCCATCTCTCTTCTCTGGACACAGCTCAAACTTGGTGTCATTAGTGTCCATGATTGTCTTCCCCTGCACTTGAAAAGTTTCCACAGAGGCAGGATGCCAAATAATATCTGCACATGAGCAAATGAGATTTAGGAGCCCTTCTGGCAAACCTGTAAGATTCTGACTTCAATAAAAACAAATGTTTGTTGACTGACTGTATCCAAACCTCACAACAATCCTATGGTGGATAATATAATTTCCATTTTACAGATAAGGGAATCAAAGAACTCTAGGTTATTCCCAAAGGGTCATGTTCAGTTTACCATCTCTATATATTTTCTAATATTTTATTTTTTTATTATAGTTGGACTCAATATCTATTTTTTATTAATTTACTTTTATGTGGTGCTGAGGATTGAACTCAGGGTCTCACATGTGCTAGGCAAGCACTCTACCGCTGAACCACAACCCCAGCCCTCATCTATATATTTTTTTAAAAGAATGTGCCAGGAAGCTGGGCATTGTGGAGCTTGTCTGTAATCCAAGAGACTCAGGAGGCTGAGGCAGGAGGATTGCAAGTTTAAAGCCAGCCTCAGCAATTTAGTGAGACCCTGTCTCAAAAATAAAAGGGCTTAGGGATGTAGCTCAGTGGTAGAGTGCCCTTGGGGTCAATTCCTAGTATGGGTGGGGGGGGAGTGGAGGAAAATAGAACAGTCAATGCCTGTATGACTAGAACAAAATGAGGGGGTTTATGATAGGGGACAAGATCAGAGAAGTTAGCAGGGACCATATTGTATAGGGCCTTAACGTATTGAGCAATGATAATGGATCAGATGAGGTGGCAGAAAATAATCCAAGTAGGCAGATTTGGAGTCTTTTGCCTGGGGGATTTTCAGGTTAATCATTCACTTATTCATTTGTTCATTCTGCTTCATCCATCGCTGACCTAAGACCAATAGTGTGGGAACTGGAGTCACAGTGCTTGAGTTCAAGACAGACTTTCACCATATGGTTGGGAAAGTGACTAAATCCCTGACATTTTTTTTTTCTATCATAAAAAGGTGATGATCACCCACAATCTCTGTACTTTAGCATGTGCGGTAACCTCTGCTAGGAATGCCCTCTCCCTTTCTCCCTCTCTCAGGGGACTGCCTTTGGCCAGTTTCCAGGAACCACCCACTCAGATTCCATTTCTTCTTCCCTAGGCTCCCACAGTCCCCAAGTTAGACATCACCTAAATCATCCTTTTTACTGTCGCTGACGTCCCATCCATGTTCAGTCCCATTTCCAGGCCTTTTCTTTGGCTGGTCTTCCCTCCTCCCTCCAGGATGCACTCTTGGCATTCCAAATGGGAACTGCCCACAAATTGGTTTCTTTGAATATTTTGAAATATGTGCTTCCACTGCTAAAAAAAAAAAAAAAAAAAAAAAAAAAAAACCTCCGAATGTGGACCTGTAGCACAAATCAGGAAACCTAAAAATCATTAAAAAAAAAAAAAAAAAAAAAAAGCTGTGTAGGTCCTGTGATGACCTCTCTGGGGAACAGGAGCAGTTGCAGACCTCTCTGGCTCCTTTAGGCTTGGCTCCTTAGGACTGTCTTTAAGCTATGCCTCTTCCTAGGGACCTGGTTCCCAGGTTCCTAGTATTTGTAGCCTCCAGGTGATTTGATTGCTAGTAATATTTTGTAGACTGTTTTGTGGGAGATGTAGATTCCCCCCAGGAGTATTTTAACTCCTGGAGGCAGAGAGGTAAGGCTTCTCTACATTGTCTCCATATTCTTCAGCAGGAATGAGCATACAGAAAGGCCAAGAATGATTTTCCTCATTGTTAATTAGGAACACATCTATACATACATATCTATGCCACCTTAATGTGTGCGCGCGCACACACACACACACACACACACACACACACACATGCTCTATTTCACAGTTAAGACACATGCACAGTTGTAACCTCACACCATTCACATATATTCAATACATTCTTAATTCTTGCACAATTCCTTAGGTCTATAGCATATGGACACACAAAGATATGTACCTCATAATGCACACACAGAGCTGCCATTTTCTTATACACACAACTCTCTCTCACCTTGTAGTAGACACCAGAAACCCTCACTTTGACTTAGTCTTGCCAAAATGACCAAGTACTCACTGACGTGTCTTCACTTCAACCCATCCATTAGCCCATTTTACATAATGGGAAGTCCATCCAGAGAAGTCAGATAAGGGTGCTGACAAATACTCCAGGTGTCTCAAATCTCTCACCTGACACTTCACACAGAGGGGTCCTCTCTACCCACTGCACAGTTTTGAACTCTGCTTCTGATATTTAAGCACCACAATCCATGGTGCTTCAAAAATGTCTAGCCCACTACCTTTCTGTGGCTAGTTTCTCCTTTGCAAAATGAGGATTTTTCTCCTTTGCAAAATGAGAATAATGACCCTCGTGGGTTTGTTGTGGATTAAATGAGTTCATGCTTATGGAAAGCCTTAAGACACTACTGGGCACACAGTAAGTACTTTCTAAGTATTGGCTATTGCCATAATTATTGTAATAATCCCTATGTGGGTCATCAGGAGGGGCTCAGCATTCAGTGAGTGGTAAATTAATAAGCAAATGCTAAGAGCACTGGGGTCTGGGTTTTTTCTCTTCATTGTGCAGGCACGTGCTGCTCTGATTCCTCTTTTTTTCCTGTGTCCCCTGATGTCCAGCACTATTGTTAGTATACAGTAGGCGTTAAGTGTTGAATAGATGTTCGAATGAAAGGAATGCCTATTCTGAGTCTGTTCCCTGGTTCAGATGTCCTCTCCTTCTACCAGCCCTCCTCCACCCCAGATGCCCAAACTTAGCTTTAGCATACAGCAGACGCTTAAGTGTTGAGTGAAATGAACAACTGCTTGAGGAATATGTGTCTGGGTTTGTCCTAGGGGCTCCTGACTCTATGGATGCTGACTCTAACTTCTCTATACCCTCACCTCAGCTCAAAGCACATCATACCCACTTCCTCAGTCCGCCCCCAGCCTCCCGAAGCTATTTGTCACTGGTAATTGTGGTGTTGGAACTGGGCTGCTGGGGAGTGGGTGGGTGCAGGTGCTAGCTCGGCAGGGCGCCAACACTAGCCACGCCTCTGCCGCTGTTCATGGTAGATTGACAGGGAATTGGCCAGCGGAGAGGATCTGGTGGGTGGGAACTTAGGGAGCTTCAGGAGGCAGGGAGATAACAACTAGCCAGAATTCTGGCCAATCAAGAAGTACTTGCCAGAGGGAATAGCCAATCATGAAATCCACAAAGCAAAGCTCTGCAGAGGGACGTGCTGAGCAGTACTAGAGGGTCCAAGACAGCATTAGGGCAGTGGCAAAGGGAAGTTGGGGTTTGACACTTACTTTCACACCTTCTAAGAAGCAGCCACAGTGGAAAATACTGTTTTCCATAATAGGCTGCTGTGACTTTCCTCTAGAAGATGCTATTGCCTCACTTTGGGGGAGGGGGTCAGGTTGCTTTTCCTCCTTTAAGGAATCTTAGAAGAGCCCCAAGAGGATGATTTATTGAAGTCTGAGAGGTAAGGGGAACAGAGTAGAAGCGACAGATATTAGGATTTCTATTCCTCAGGGTCTGTGCAGGCAGGTGCATGTAGACATGGCCGTTGCTCCTTCACCACCAGCTTCTGCCCCTGCAGCTCCTCGCACATTGGCCGTGGATTCCCCCAGAAGGTCACATTCTTCTCACCCTGGCCTTCAACCGTGGAAACAGTGGGCCTGGGATGATAAGGGGAATTGAAGAAAGAAGTTCAGGGAAGGCAAGAATGCATTCAGTAAATTCTTAATAAGTAGCTGGGCATGGTGGTGCACGCCTGTAATCCCAGTGGCTCGAGAGGCTGAGACAGGAGAATCATGAGTTCAAAGCCAGCCTCTGCAACAGCGAGGTGCTAAGCAACTCAGTGAGACCTTGTCTCTAATAAAATACAAAACAGGGCTGGGGATGTGACTCAGTGGCCCCTGAGTTCAATCCCCAGTACCAAAAAAAAAAAAAATCTTAATGAGTGCCCACTGTGTGCCCAGCTCTATGTTTTAGATATGATATTGGGCTATTTCTTTAGCTCTCCTGTGCCTGTTTTCCTTATCTACAAAATGGTAATAATAGGAATAATAATATCAATACACACTTCACCAGGCAGAGTGAGGATACATGAATTAACTCAGGTAAAGTGTTCAGAGTGGTGCCTGGCACAGAGTAAGTGCTCAATAAATGCTGGTGGGTGTTAATTATTGATAGGAGCTACCTTATCTTACCTCTAAAATCCTTTATCTTTTCCCATTCCCCACCTGAAAAAACCCAAATATTTTGTCCTGATATTCAAGGCCTTGATGCTAGCCCCAAGTCCCTGCCCCAAGCCAATGTCTCTGCTTCCTCCACTTTATATATACTCAGTCCCATGCCTGGAAAGACCTTTGCCTGGATTATTTTTCCCACTAAGCAAGCCATCCATTCACTTCCATCCCAAATTCTTTCAGCTGGTCCTTCATTCAGCCTCGTACTTATTCAAGTCCTTTGCACCTCCATTCCACATCTCTAACTCATCTTTGGGACCTACTCTGAACCCCAGAGCTAGAAGATCATGTCCCAGATGCCAGGCCTTCCAAGAGCTGAAAAAGCCTGTTTAACAAGTAGCTTGATGTACCTGAAAATAAGGAAGGGATAGGTATTTTAACCTTCTCCCACACCTGGGCCACTCTAGTCACCAGTGATCACTTAGTGTGGCCACTCACTTGTGTTTTAGACCGTGCTCACTGTCTTAATGCCAGCAATGTCTTTTCTGACCCCTGCCTTCCAAGGAAGCCCTGATCAACTTCCTGGACCCAGGATATGGTGTCAGTCCCTTTGCCATGCACCAGTGGTTCTGTGTATGCATTCTGTCAGGGCTCTGCTCACCTGGGTCCCTGGAGGAATTCATGGATCTGGGTTCTGTAATTATGGCCCAAAAGGACAGTGAGATGCTAAAGGAGTGACTGGAGTCATGGGTGACTGGGCAATTCAAAGAATGGTAACCCAGAACACAGAAGGAATGGACGGACACATGAAGGACTGAGCAAATGGAAGAACAGCTGAGTGACTGTGTGAGTGACTAAAGGGCACAGAGGCTGTGAATTCTCCCCAAGTATCTTCTTTCTCCTCTTAATTTCTTGCTTCTTCCTGCGGCTGGGAGATGGCACTCAGTAAGGTAGGCACCTTAGACCCTGTGGTGGAAGCCCTAGTTGGGGATCTGACTCTCCCACCTTCAACATCATGATTCCCTCCCAGGTACCCATTGCCCCTTCACTCACGAGAACTTGGGGAGCAAGGCTGTGCACTGGCGCTGGCGGACACGGATGGGGTTGGGTCCACATGGGGGTGTACACAATCCCCAGGTACTCCACTGTGACCACTGGCCTTTCACTGTAACAAGGAGAGGGGATCACAGAGTGAGAACTGGAGGTCTCAATGGGAAGACAAGAGGGAGACTGCAGGGACATGGTGGTCCACAGCACAGGTGGAAGTCTTTGCCCCTGTGTGGGGTGCCCACCCTCACAGTGTTGTCTATTGAGGCACTCACAGAGGCAGTTCTGGATATTGTAGCAGTGTCGGATATCCTGATAGTTCCCAGCACATCGCTGTCCATTAAACTTGCGGCCCACACAGGTCCTTGAGCGTGACTGCTGGCCTGGGATTTCCTCACAGCTGATAGACTTCAAGTTGAGGCGGGAGCAGATGCTCCACTTTCCCCAGGCTTCCCACTGTCCATCCACTGCACAGACAGGTTAACAGGGGCTTGTATCAAACTAGGGAGTGAATAAAGGGAGCTCAGGGGAAGGAACAAAAGCTGTTGGAGAGAGTGGGAGTGATCAGATGTGAGAATGGGGGACCACAGGTGAAAATAAGGCATGAGGATGGAGAAAGGAGGAATTAGAGGCAGGAAAGCCTCAGTAATAGGAATTGGGCAACAGATGGGCAGGAGGTGGAGACCTGAAGCATGGACATGGTACCTCCTAGTACTGACCAGGGCAGGGGATGGCTGTGTTGCAGATGTGGGTCCGGGTAGCATCACCAACACAGGCAGGGCCCCCATGCTGGGGCACAGGGTGATCACATGTCCTTCGTTCCAGGGTCTGGCCCAGGCCACAGGTCACAGAGCAAGGAGACACAGGGCTCCATGGCCCCCAGCCTCCAGCCACTGTTGGAGGAGTAAAGGGAGTAAAGAGAAAGGCCACCCCAATCCCCCCAGCCCCTAGACTCTGAGACAGACTGTCCCCATATGAAAGCCTCCATTATCACATGGTATAAGAACTCTATTCCCTGAAATGACAGACCATCTGTGCCCTGACTCAAAAGGCTTGTTGGAGGAGGCCCATGTCAGCAGCCTCATCCCCGCGTACCTGGACAGGGTGGCAGGCCAGTGCAGCCCCGTTGCTCATTGGCTGTTCCTGGGCAGGGCTTCCCAGGAGGCTGCTTGGAGGGCTCAGGTGCAGAGCATGTGCGGCTTCGTGTTTCTGTAGGCTTGTGGGGTCCACCATGGCAGGTGCCTGAACAGGGGCTCCAAGGGCCCCAGGCAGCCCAGGCCCCATGTGCTGTGGTAGGAGTGGGAGGATGTACACATGGTCAGGCTTGCTGAATCCTCTCTACCTGGCAGTTCCTGGCTGAAACTCCACATACCCACCCTGGGTGCCCCCATCAGTGTCCTGTGGCTGCCTTCACTCACTGGGGCAGACCTTCTGGGTGTCGCAGGGCTTTGACTCCTGTGCCTCTCCTGGGCAGTGGCCCCCACACTTGGGGGCAGGTCGATCACATAGTCGCTTGCGGGTCTGGATTCCTTTGGAGCAGGTGACAGAGCAAGGCCCCCAGGGTGCCCATTCAGACCAGCCACCTATCTCTGTCGGAGAGGAGAAGGAGAGATGGTATAGAGGCAGAGATGTCAATCAGTGTTCCTGGCTTTCTTGTGTGTCCCATATCAGCTAATCCTGTCCCTACATCTCATGACCCCAGACTTGGCCCACCATTACTATTCATCTGGACTACAGCAGCACCTTTCATCTTGGTTCCTCTGCTTGACCCCTATCGTATAGTTGGTCATCTTCCCAAACCCAATAAGATTGAGTTTCTACCCTGCCCACAATCCAAATTACTGACTAAAGTCAATGTCCTCACCGTAGCTTCCCTCACCTTTCTAGCCTCACCTCCCACCACTCTCCTCCAGTCACCAGAATGCCCTCAGGTCCTTGCAACATCAGGCACAGGCTCATCCTCAGGGCCTCTGCACTGATTCTTTTGGTGCTAGGGCCAGGTGACGGGGAGTACTTGCCCGCCTTGTTGATCCTCCTCACCAGGACAGCAGGGCTGGTCTTCACAAGCCTGTAGCTGCCACTCAAGGGTCCCAGGAGCCACCTTTTCAGGGCAGTGACCACCTCTGCCCATACAGCGCCGATGTCGCAGCTGGGAGCCTTCAGAGCATGTCACTGAGCAGGGGGCCCAAGAGGACCATGGTGACCATCGTGGGAGCCTGTGGAGAAGTACACATGTCCTATCCTTGTTTAAACTGACAGGATGGCATGTGGAACTCTAGAAGCAGGCCCATAAGTGGGTGCTGTGTAAATGTGCAGCATGGATCCAAGTGTACCTACCACTTGGGGATACTGCAGAATTGAATGAGAATAGGTGGGCACATAGTTAGGTGCTTGATAAATGTCACTTTCCTTCATAACCAGGGCCTTAAAGTTACCCCTGGAAATCCTCAAGGACAAAGCCAGGGATACACTAAGCAACCTTAAGGACTAGAAGTCCAAACTGCTGCCAGAAACCCAAGTGGCCATTGCCCTGCACAGTAGCAGGCAGACAGGAAACATTTAATAGGAGTCATTGTGCCAATGAGTTCACACATCCCCTCAGAAATACTCTGGATCATCAGGTGCCATAATGCATACCTGTAATTCCAGTAATTTAGGATGCTGAGGCAAGAGGATTCCAACTTTGAGGCTAGTCTCAGAAAACTAGTGAAACCCAATCTCAAAATAAAACTTAAAAAAAGGACTGGGATGTAGCTAAGTGGTAGAGCACACCTGAGTCCCCACTCAAAAAAAAAAAAAATACCCTGGATCTATTCCCATCCTCTTCACAGTAAGGGTATGCCCTCAAATGCTAAATAGATATGACCTGCCAACAAGACTAGATACAAGCAAGAGCTGCTCTCAAAAATACCCAACTTTTCCAGGCATGGTGGTGTACACCTGTAATCCCAGAAACTTGGGAGGCCAAGGCAGGAGGATCTCAAATTTGAGATCAGCCTTGGCAACTTAGTAAGACCCTGTCTCAAATAAAATAAAAAAGGGCTGAGGATGTGGCTCAGTGGTAGAACACCTCTGGGATAAATCCCCAGGAAACCGCCCCCACCCCTGAACAACAACCTCCTCATCCCTGTAGTGTATCTGAAATATATGGTAAGGAGTTAGGAAATAACAGGAAACACATCTGTAATATAGTAAGGCTCCATACATGTGAGCTACAGGAAATCATGATTAGGAGACTAGAACTACTTTAGAAATCCCTGCATTGCATTTAGTATGGAGGAAATGCTCAAGGAATGTAAGGTATCATCATAATTAGGGGCCTGGAGCTACCCTCAGAATTTCCCCAAACTCCTCCCCTTCCATGTATAGATGTGTCTATATACAGTAAGCACTCGATAAATATGAGCTGTCATCACAATTAGGGAACTGGAGTTGCCCTCAGAAATTTGGCTATGTCTAGAGACAGTTTTAGTTTTCTCAACTGGTAGGTGTTGCTCCTAGAGTCTAGTGGAAGGCCAGCGATGTTCCAAAATAACTTAAAAGGAACAGGTCAGCACTCGCCCGCCACCCCCAACAAAGAAGTTTCCAGTTCCATATGTCAATAGTGCCAAGGTTGATATACCCTCAGCTGGTTATGATCATGGCCTTCAGGGTCACCATTGGAGGTCCCAGAGAAAGGATGAGCTTAGTTCTGAGTCATGGACCTTTTTGCCCCCTGCCAACCCCAAGTTCCTCCGAACCTGCATGCCCGACAGAGCCCACTGCCACTCTCCTGGAAGGCATAGGCAGCATTGAGACAGCAATCCTCCACACTGACGCCTCCCCCTAGGAGGCCCTTGCACCTGCCAGAGTCTTCTTCATATTGGCTGAAGCAGAGCACAGGGTCTGAGCCTGTAACAGGACCAGGGGGAAGGAATGGTCAGGAGCATGGTGGATCTGAGCCCCCCAGGGGGACAGCTGGGCTCCCACTCACTCACCTGTGGTTGGCAGGGTGAGCAGTAGCAGCAACAGTGACTGAGGGGCCTGCGCTCGGGTAGTCATGTTGAGCGTGGCGCCCCTGTGCCCTCACCAGTGAGGAGGTCTGGCTTTATCTGGGCTGACCTGCTTCTGGAAAGAGGAACCTGCCACAGGAGGAACTAGAAGGATATCATGCAGGCCTCTTGAGCTCTGACCTCTGTTTTGTCCCCTCAGACTCCTCCTCTTCTCTCTCCTCCCCATTTCCTGTGTTACCCTTGGTTCTGTTTTGTTTGTCACCCAATCCCCAGCACCTCACACTGTTTCTCTGCTCCACTCAGCAACCTTAGTGTTCAGTCCTCACTTCTTGGACAAGTTCTTAATGAAAGGCAATGGAGCTTCAGCGTTTAGAGCAGGATGAATCTTATTGATGTGCGACCTTGGACAAGTCACTTCAACCTCTCTGGGTCTGTTTCCCTGCATGTAAAATGTACAATCTTGACCACACTACAGGGTCAAGCTCATGGGGGTGTTAAACAAGGGTAAAATGACAATGGCCCTCCTCATGGGTGGCAATTGCTTCATCTTCCATCCTGACTTAACCCCACCCTCCTCTTTCCTAAAAGTGAGGTTCCCTGTGGTCAGCATACGGGAGGAGGTTACAACAAGGGAAGTGAGAAGGGGAAGTGGCAGGGTGTGGGGAAGGATTCAGAAAGGGTGGAATTGGGGATATCCACTGCCCTGGGGGCCCAGCTAAGGACACCTTCAGGGATTGGGGCAGGGGTGAATAGGAGGAAATCAGCTGAGCCATGTTTAATCAGAGTACCCTTGGGCAGGTACCACTCCTCCTGCCTGCTTCCTCCTCTGTAAAATGTATACACAGAAAGCACCTATGACATAGTTGTGTGGGTTTGTTGAGAAGATAGGGAGTTAAGATATTTAGAAATCCTTAAAACAGTGCCTAGCATATAGGAGGTGTCCTGTGTTTGCTGTGTTGATTCACTGAACATTTATTGAACACCTATTGGAAGCCAGATATAGTTCTTAGTATTATATGGAACAGAGGGCAGGACAGAAAAAAAATCCTCACCCATGAGTGATTTCTACTCTAAAAGGAGAGACGGACAATAAATACCATCTCCTTCACAGTGGCTGTTTCCAGCTACCCTTCCTGGATGATATCCCTGTTACTCTCCAGTCCAGTGACTCTCAAACTTTAGTGTGCATCTGAGTCACCCAAAGGGCTTGATAAAGTTTCAGATCACTGGGTTCCATCCTAGTTTCTGATTCCACAGGTGTGGAGTAGGGCTCAAGAATGGCCATTTTAAATGGGTGCTGTGGTGCACACCTGTAATCACAGAGACTTGGGAGGCTGAGGCAGGAGGATCACTAATTTAAAACCAGCCTCAGAAATTTAGCAAGGCCCTAAGCAACTTAGTGAGATCCTGTCTCTAAATAAAATATAAAAAGGGCTGGGGTTATGGCTCAGTGGTAGAGTGCCTAGCGTGTGTGAGGCCTGGGTTCCATCCTCAGCACCACACAAAAATAAATAAATAAATAAAAAAGATATTGTGTCCAACTACAACTAAAAAATATTAGAAAAAAAAAGGGCTGGTGATGTGGCTCAGTCATTAAGTGCCCATGAGTCCAATCCCTGGTACCAAAAAATAAAAATGCACATTTCACATTAGGTGACCCTGGGGGCCATACTTTGAGAACCAGCACACTGGTCCCTTCAGCCTTCTTTATTTTTGTGGGTCTCATCTAGAGAAAACAATTCTACATGCTTTCTTTTTCTTTTTTTTTAAAGAGAGAGAGTGTGTGTGAGAGAGAATTTTTTAATATTTATTTTCTAGTTTTTGGCAGACATAACATCTTTGTATGTAGTGCTGAGGATCGAACCCGGGCCACACACATGCCAGGCGAGCGCGCTACCGCTTGAGCCACATCCCCAGCCCCTACATGCTTTCTTTTACTGTTAATAATGAACTTCTTTTCAGCCCATTTTCCTTGCAGGTAAAACTGTGCCCCTACTTTAGTTTTTCATAAGCCCTAACAAGTCAAATTCCAGAGCCTACTTCAAAAACAACAATCTTGTGGGATGGGGATATAGCTCAGCAGTATAGCACTTGCCTAGTGTATGCAAGGCCTTGGGTTTCATCTCTAGCACTACAAAATGTATAAAAATAAAAACAATTTTTTTAACAAGAAAGGAACCTAAGATAGTAAGGCAGGGGCTGGGCTTGTAGCTCAGTAGTAGAGTGTTTGCCTAGAATGTGTGAGGTACTGGGTTTTATCCTCAGCACCACAGAAAAATTTTAAAAAAAGTATTGTGTCCATCTACAACTTATCTATATATAAAAAGACAGCAAGGATATGGATGGATGGAGATTTCATATATATATATATATATGTGTGTGTGTGTGTGTATGTATACGTATACGTATATGCATAAAGATAGCAAAGTAATGCCTAATTTCTCTTGCATTCATGGAGAAAGAATACCATTCCACAAATTAAAACAAGAGAAAAGAATTTGGTCAGGTGTTGAAAACAAGTTCCTCAAGAATACTGCTCTTGTTTTCTGGGTGATAAGGTGTGTGTGAATATTTGTATCCATTACAGATGTACTCTGTTCTCTGAGAATATAAGCCTGTCTCTGAATGTTTGCTTTGAACAATGGGTCTTGTTAAGATTCTAAGACTTCAACTGTCAGTTCTGTGTTACCCAGTGAAAACAAACTCCCCAAGAAACCTGTAATTCTGCTTGGCTGCTTTATTTAATCACCTGTTGCCCTGGTAATAATGTTATAATCGATATTTCCTTTGTTCCTAAACTGCATAAATACTTAGGATTCCCTGTGGATGAGAACTGTCGGCACTTTCATTTTCTCCCACACACGTTTAGGCATTGAAATGACTCGGCAGATTCCTTATTTAAGCAAAGAGCTAGAGACTTGTCTTATTTAATTACCACATTACTGCCTGATATAATGTATTTATCTGTTTCTTCTCAGTCTCCCTCACTGAATATTAGCTTCACTCGGGCAGGGGGTTTGGGCTGGTTTGTTAACTGCTGGGTCTGCAGGGAATCAGATGGGTACCAGCAAACAGAAGATGCTCAATAAATGGTTGCTGAGCAAATCAATAAATGAAACAAATGAAACCTGAGATTCTGGTAAGTGCTAAGAGAAACAGTATGAGTTGGAGATAAAAATCTGGGCATCATCTTGGGGGATAAAGTCCTATGTCAAGTGCTGGGACCAGAGAAGACTACCTAGATGCATGAAGAAAAGGGGGCGTCAGACAAAACCAAGGGGAACCCCAGCATTTCAAGTTTTGGAGAACTGGGAAAAGCCAGACGAGAGGACTGAGCGGAAGAGGCCTATAGCGGAAGAGGCCAAACAAAGGTAGTTTTTTTTTTTTTTCTCTTAGGTCTGGTACATTCCATCCATGACCACTCATACACTGTCTCATTTGGTCTCATTTTCTCTTATGGTTTATTTTATTACCCATACAAACACACACAATGTAGAAGCTGGATGTACAGCTTCTACTATAGTCTCTTATGAACAGGTTCACATACATACTTATACACTCAGACATTGTCATTTACTCAGGGAGTCATTTCTCTACCATTGATCCCTAGTGCCACGACAGTCTCCTGCTAGCAGTTTCAAACACACCCAATCACATCTTAGAACCTGTCTCATTTAGTCAATATCGCCAATATTTTCTCTCACCAGTTTTTCACATATACACAAAGACGGTCACACTCTCTCACAACATGAACCATTTCATTTGCCTCGCCATTTTCTCACACAAATAGTCACTCATTTACAGTCACCACTAAGAAGTTTCTTGAACACATAGTCACTCTCTCTCCCCTCCCTTCTTACTTAAGCCACTTATACTCGCCCCCACAGTTCCTGATTGTAGCCTCTTACAGCCTTCCAGGAAGACTCACATGCACACAGTATCACCATCTTCAGACACTGTCTCCCTCACCTCACCCCACATTTCTTCTCAAGGTGCTTCCACCACACTGAGTCCTTGGTTAAAAGGCTTGAAAAAGGTCTTTCACAAAAAGTTGCCTATCTATGCACAAAACTGGTTCCTTGGATGCTGGCTCATCCACCCATTCAGCCACTTCTGATACATGCAGCCATTAATTCACAATGGCCACTAGGCTCTTGATAAGTCTCCTGCAATTATCCCCCCATGCCCTGTGCAGACATGTACACCATCATTTTCTTCATACAGTTGGCTTATCAGACACAGGCCCACACTACAGCCTCGCAAGTTTCTCATGCACACTGATCATGTGGTTGCTCAGTAGTTTCATTGGCTTGGTGTCAACTTCTCAGCTTTTACACAAACATGCAGTCTCTTATTCAGTTTTATGACATATTTCATAGACTCACACACTCTCAGACACTGCTCAGTTGTCAGGTTTTTCTCCCACAGTCGCTGGCTTCCAGTGTTTGCTATTGCTGGTCTCTCACACACAGTTTCTCTTTTCTCTCAGACAGTTTTGTGGTCTCTGGTATCACTGCAGTCCTTCAGTCTCACCAGAACCTGTGGAGAGGCTGCAGCCTTAATTGTAAACCAGCTGCCCCCAGTCTTAGGTTCACACACACATGAGCACAATTACAGCCTCTCAGATGATCCTGGAAACCACCACCCTCTGTTTCTGTCTTAACCACAGTCTCTATGAAACATTTTCACACACACATTCTCCTACCTTGGGTTTCTGGCCTCTTGGCTTCACAGCCACTCTCTCACACAATCAACTCTTGTGTGTGCACTCCTACAGCTTTAGCTGTCACTTGGACCTCACAGAGTTTCATATAAAAGCCTTTCTCAAACATCAAGTCGCCTGTTTACATACAGTGAGGTTTCTCACCTACATGTGGTCCCTGATGATCTTCACCACTACTTTCCTGCCCACATAGTCTCTCACATGTGGTTCTGTTCACTCTGACTTGCTCAGCACCAGCGTATCCAACAGTGACCAATCTGCAGTTCCTGTTATCTTCTCCTGAACTGTATCTCATACGTACAGTCATAGGTTCTTGCATAGTATCTTACTCATTCAGTCTCAAAGTGAGTTTCTGAAAAGTAGCCACAATTGCTCTCATAGATATGCTGTCAAAAGTTTGCGGTCACACATCTGCTTTCTCTCACATGCACGACACACTATCACAACTTTCCACAGTTTCTCTCGCCACACCCAGTGACCAACTGGCAATCTCTATTACTATTTCTCTCACCACTAACCTCTGCCTCAACCTCATTGCCCTTCACACAAAGTCGTGCTTGTCACACTCAGCTTGTCCCAAAGATAATTGGAGAAAAAAAATGCCAGCAGCCTCCAGCAACACCTTTAAAAATATATATTTACAGGAACAATTCCCCATTCTCTGGGACTCTTAGAAAAAAAGGTCCATTTTGGGGAAGTAAAACAAACAGAGGAGACGAGTGTAGCACCGTCCCCGAATCACCAACCTCCAGATCCCCAGGCCTGGGTTGGGCTGGTGCTGAGAGGAGATGAGCTCAGGTGTCTTTTGAACCCACCCTCTCCAGCCTGGAATTGAGACAAGACAGGCTTTATGTCCCCTGTTCCTCCCTCCCAACTCCAGGGACACTTAAAGGGTCCTTTGTACCCGCCCGCAGGAAATTGGGGGGCTGGGAGGGAGGGAGCTGAAAATACGTTTGGTATCAAAAATAAACACTTGGGGGCAGCATGAAGATCACCCCCAAATCCCTTCCTTCCCACCCACCCACCCCATCAGATATAGGAAGAGATGCCTCCCTCTCCCCTATTGAAAAGCCCCATTTAAAAATAGATTATACTATCAAAATGGCAGGGGGTGAAAGACAGGGAAACTTGGAGTACTGGTTGGAGGGGTCCCCCAGACGGGGACCACCCCCGAAAAAAACCCTCCATTGGGAGGTAACAGGCAGGACCCCAGGGAGTTTGGCAGACAAAGGAATGGCTTCTCAGGGGAGAGAACAACAAAAGGGTGTTCCTCCCTGGCCACAATGTTGGTCGAGTAAAGGACAAGCTGTCTGAGAGAAAGGTTGGGGAGGTGGAAATTCCTCTTTCCAGGGTGTGATCCTTTCTTGGTCAAGACTCCTAAACCATTAAAGCGGATAAATTCTTCCTGAACCCTTGGGATGGCCAGGAATAATAAAACAAAGCAAACTAGCTCTTCTACCCACACCCCAAAATGGAGACAGGGCTCCCTCATCTCCCCAAGGGCAGGCTGAGAAATAAATAAAGAAAGGTCCTTCTCAAGCCAGACCCCGATTGTCTTGTCTTAGGGAAAAAAGTAGGGAGATGGGGGAGATGGGGGAGATGTCTTAACCACCCCCCTAAAAGGGTTGGGCCAGGCTCCTCCCAGTGGCCTTCAAAAAATAAATAAATAAACCGCCCCTACCACTGAAGTAGGA